GCATGCCATATCGTACGGGTTGGTCCTGGTTGGGTCCTCGGAGGGCGAGCACTTTCATATATTATTCTCATGTGACTGAAGGGATCACACAGACGCCAAGTTAAAATACGACTTGTTATGTTTTAATAAAAACGGTTGAACCCATTTGCTCCAAAATCGAATGAGCTTCCAGGCTACTTTGTATGATCTGATCGAAGGCTTTGCTCTTCATGGCAAACAGGAGATATTTCAGTGCGCAACACTTTCTGAAGTACCTTGGATTACATGCCAGTCTCTAGAAGAACTTGATAGTATTCGATTTTCTGGTAGTGGTTAAATGTATGGTAATTGCGGAGCTGGCTTATAGTTTCTTCCGGGATCTGGTGTAAGTTATTATACGCTGACTCCGACTTTTATGTCCGCATATGCGCGTGCACAGGATGCTGCAGATTTCGCCGATTTAGAACACTGTTTAAGCTAATTTTATTTGCTATCTCTGGCGAATTTCGATGCGCAAATTCCTTCGCTTGTTTGATTGCAGCCTAAACTGCCGATTAAATGCCCATTTCTTTGAAGTTTCCTGTGCTGACTTGCGAACCCACAAGTTCCATTATAGAAACGCACATGACATCAGCCTTCCCCACACGAATTATTCTTTTATTAGCTTTTTCGTCTCTTACCTACTTTTTTTGTCAGGTTCAAAACGTCCTCGTCGCAGTCAGCCAACATCAGACTCTCTAGCCTCTCTTGGACTGGACGGAGAAGCCCTCTGGAATGCTATAAACGGGGCACCGGATCCCGATCTCGCAGAAGGCAGTCTCTCCACAGTTCAACGAGATGCAGTATTGCATTTCAAGGAGGCTACAATACGTGAGCTGCTAGCCCAGACAGCACCAAACAGAGAGGTAATTGATGAATCTTAAATCGTCGGACCATTTCCCAAATAGAGTTCAGTTGACTTAAGTTTTGGCTGTAATAAAGTCTTCCCCGTGCTGGCGTGGGTTCGAATCCCACCGAGGCCGCCATTTTTTCACAAGAAGGTCATGTGTATTATTAAAATCTGCCAAACCCCTTACTAATAAAGTGCGCCTGGTAGTCACCTAGTGGATTCTAGATTGATTGTCTAGGAAACCCTGCTTAAACAGTCAGCTTACTGTATCAAAATTGGTGGATTCTACACGTTGCAGTAGACTGGGCGGATAACTTCACCCAAATGCGATTAAACTAGTAGTTCACTTGGCTAGAGGGCTGGCAGTACTAAAGCCTTCCCCTTGTCGGCGTGGGGTCGAATCCAGCCGAGGTCACCGAATTTTTAAAAAGTGGGTCAAATGACTTGTCAAACAAATCACATTAAAACATACCATTGCAGTTCCCTCAATCTCAAGGAATAGTGAGTTATATTGTCATTTGGCAACCTCCCAGGCTTGCGTTGCTACTGAGTCGTGCCAATCAACAAGCGCGTCTGCGTGTTCGTTGTGAGGAAGCCAACGCTGGACGCGAGCAAAGTTGACTTCACTCGTTGTTCCCTGCTTTCCTAGTGTCAGTTGTCTTTGCGGGTCAGACGAACTGGAGATGGAATTGAGCACAGTAATAAACATAGCTTGAAGCTTCTGTTTAATGCCTTCCACACACAAGCTTTGCCAGTCGTTATTTACGCTGACAGACTTCCGCAAAACTGTCTTGTAGGGCCACTTCAATATATTTTCCCCAACTTACTTACGGAATTAGGGGTTAAAAATCTAGTTCTTAGTTAACGAGTGTAAATAAATATTTAATTGTGTTGAAATTGATCAAAGAATATTAAATTAAAGCCATTTATACTTGTTTTAATGAGCTAAGTATAATCAACTCCATCAACATAAACTCCTGTTACTCAGGCAGCTGATGCCTATTGATGGAAATTTGACCTTATATCGGCGGAATTTAACGGAAAAAATGGAAATTCGGGCCGCTTCAAAATGTTAAAGTAGATTATTATTATAAGTCGGGCTAGTGCAAATGTAAAAGTAGTTTATTATTATAATTCAACGGCAAATAGGACCTCTAAAGACAGTCATACCCAGACTTCATTGCATGACTGTTATGTGGAAAATTATTGTCGGCGTGTGTGCATGTATGCTCGAATCGGCCCATATGATTTCTGTATGCGTGGGGTCAAAGACTGCTTCCCGGGAAATAGCCGAACCTTGATCCTTCGCCTCTGTCACCTCGAAGCTTAACCTCGACTCCAGTTCTAAGTTAAACAGGATTGCCCATCTTTTCCATTGAATGATCTTCAGAATTCAGGGCTCCCAGCTACCCTTTTCTGCTTAAATATTACCATTCTGATGTTATGAGAATATGAACACAGTTAACCATGTTAGAAGCAACGTTTTATTAGTGGATATGTGCTGCCAACAAAAATAAGGGCAGAATGGCTGCTTCCGGCTAATTTTCCTTCACCAGCTACCGGATGTTCCTACCATGCGACCGACATGTAGCTGTCTGACAGTGGCGAGTAAGCTAGAAGTGAACATCGCAGTCACCCTCTTTTTGGTAGCGCTTTCCATTCAGTAATTGCCCGTCGCTATGTGGCCGTATTATCAAGACAACAACTTAAATAGTTTGAAAACGTTCTTTGCCGCCCCTTGTCATGAGCTGAATGCCCTAATTATAACTCTGGCGACGTCATCTCATCGAAGGTGACGAGGAAGTCAGCTTAAATATGGCTCGACATGATTCACCCAGATACTGTTGCGGTTCTTGAATCCTCGATATTGAGCCTCAGTCTCCGGGTGGAAAGAATTCACTAAATCTGATGTAGTGGATTTGAGAGGCACTATATGGAACGTGTTTGAGGCCGGCTCTGTTCGACTCGACCGCAGCCATACCAACTGCGAATTCTAGTACATATTTGTGTAAATTCGTGTCATGCATTTTTTAGCATCCATAATTACATTTAATTGTACAGAGCAATACGTGATTTATACTTTTCTAATTAAAACTTTGATGTTTGCTGTTTGTGCAAATAATCCAGAATTTTTGGTAAAGGGCCAGCATATTACCCTGCATGGATAACTGGGAGTTTCCTGTTCTTAGGAATGGGGTCGCTTAATTTTTGTATCAGGAAGACTATTAACGCGTCCAATATTTCTCACAAAATCGTCTACGTGTCGATCCGCGCCTTTTACCCTTTGTTTTTTTTCCCATCAGGTCACGCCTCTTCTTCGTCTTCACCTGGCAGGTCTTCATCCAAAGGATGTCGAGAGAAAATTTGGTGGGTTTAAATTATATGCCTATTTGTTTCTACTTTGATTGTGTTTCCACGTGGTCTTTTTCAAGGCTCCAGTTTCGTTTAGTCACTTGCGGACATATCACAGTTTCTGTTCGGCTAGACGGTGAAAATGTCACTCTTGCTTGGAATGAGTCTCTAAGGCCACTATTTTCTGAATTCCAGCTCTGTGCCATGTGAAAAAGTCAAGTGTTTGTTTACTCTTGTTTAGACGATATTCACGCCAACCTATTCTGATTATCCAAAATGTGGACTAGTTAGTCCCTGTTTAGCCAACCAAATCCTTTTGGATTTTTTAGACGACGTTTTTCAATAGCCATGTAATGTTGCCACCTTACTTTATGATTTTCTATTATGGCAGTGTTGTACTTGCCCGTCTCCCCCTCCCTGTGTTGGTCTGGCCCCCACGTGCGTTTTTCGTGTTGGCTTCCTCTCGCCACAGCTAGTTGGCGTCCTTGATTGTTCTACGCTGTGACTATCCCTGATAAGAAAGCTGTTAATACTAAATAGGGGACAGGCAAATTTATGTGGCGGTTTACCGAACCGTCGGTTGACATTCAGGCTTCTTTAATCTGCCTTGATTTGTGATCGTCACCTCGGCCCCCAATTTTAACGGTGTCAAAGTTTAAGACGTGCCCCATCCCTGCAGCATCAGTTGTTACCTCCGACTTTGAGTGCAACCTTCTTACAGCCGGTTGATGCTCACGTGTTTGTAGCCGTGGGTCGGTTTCTCCAACATAATTGCCCATCCCGCAACTGCACTGAAGTCGGTAGACAGCGCCTGATTTCTCCTGTTTCGTAATATGGTCTTTCGGTCGCATTATTTGTTGTCGGATTGTAGAAGTAGACCTGTGAGCAGCTCCTATTCCGGGATGTGCGAGGGATCTAGACACAATTTCGGAGCCCCCTCTCATGTACGGAATGCTCCGCCACGACTTTGGTGGGCAACGCTCCTCGGTCAACGTTTTTGATGGTATTCATTTCCATTCAATCACCGCTCGTGGATAGCCGTTAGCTCTGAAGAAATCCTGGAGGAGCTTTATCTCGTCCGGTTTGGCGGTTGGCGTTCTGCAGTGGGTTTCTACCCGTCGGTATAGTGTGCTTGACGCGAGACATACACAGTGGCTCAGATGAGATTGGCAAGACACGCAAACGGAAGAAGGAGCGGCATAAAGACGAGAATCATGAGCCAGAGTGTTCGTTCTCTAAAGACGAGTAGACGAGACAACTACCTGACACGTTAGATACAAAATAAACCTCGTCCGCTGAACAATCTTTCTTCTGATTTACCACCTGGGAATCAATTTTCACTAATTTTACTGACTTATAATCACTTATACCCCCCCTTCCCCAGAAAATCTGTAGATTTCCGCTACCGTAACAACGTAATTAGCCGGTTCTTAGGATTACGACTACGTTGGCCGATTTGTGCACTCATTAGTGGACATGCACGGTTCACCTTTGATGGTATAGGATCCCAGCAAACGGCGAGTTAGTGATACGCCTAAAAGTACACGAATAATACATAGGTTTTATCGCCAGAACTTTCCGGCTTTCCCTGCTGACTACTTTTAGCAACCCCACGTATACAGACATGATTGTCACAAAATCACCATCATTGATAATTTAACAGGAGCTTCTATGGGGTAGGTAGCTCTGCGTGAGTCTAACTCGTGGCTTTAAGACAGTTAGACTAAAGCATGCGATTTCAGCACTGAAGCTGAAAAAAGGCTATTAGGAATAAAGATCGCCAACTCGGAAGACGCTGTAAAGTTCTGTTTAAGTTTTTTTCTGCACTTCAGTCCTTGACACTGGGCAATGATCTAGCAGTTCACTAAATCAGACTTCTTAACTTCTAACTCATTAGCCCTCCGAGCCCGTTTTCCCGGTCCTCTTACTTTTGCCTGCTTTAGTCGTCCTTTATTTGGGCCACAAAAACCCGTTCCGGGCAAGATTCACTGTCTATGGCTGGTTGCACAGTCCCCTCTTCAGTGTTTTCAATTATTTGATCTCGCTATCTTCACTTATTGGATCAACCAACGTTTTTATTTGAGGAAGCTGTATTTATCTCATTCAATGCGCTTTTTACTCTTAACGACAATTTGGACGTGTTTGTCGTTTAACAGTAGAACTGATCTGATTCCTCATCTGTTAAAATACCTAAAATAATGCTCTCTGGCCCACTTTCAAGATTCAATGATTTACTGCACTGAAAAGTGAGCATTTCTGTAAGTTTCTGACTACATAGGTTAATAAAGTGATAGTCAATTTTCCTTTCTCTGTGCTAGAATTGCCTCTTACCTTGTGGAATCCATCTGAGGAAATGTTGTCTACGCTAAAGGAGGGTGCAGTCGTCCAATTCTTCCGGCTTCAGGTAGTTATCATTTGTTTCAACTGTTTCATGCAACTTGAGAAATTCTTGGATTTACCGCCCAACCGCTATCAGCGGCCCTTTTGCAGTATCTTTTTGGTGGTTTTCAGTTGGCCATTGCTCCCTTCGTTTGTTCCCTCTTTATGTTGTGTCTGCTGCCGCTGTTGTTGTCCTTCCCAGTCGCTCCTCATTATTATGCACAAGTTGTGTGGTGGATGAAATA